CCTTCCTTAAATAAGGGCACATATGTCTTTTCAATTATTTTAATAATAAAAAGCACTGTCTGGCCGAATGGGAGTTATGTTCTTGAGACTTCTAGTTCGAACCAGACTTTCTCCTTTTCTCTTTCTCTCTTTCTCTCTTTCTCTCTTTCTTCCACCTTTCTACCTCTTTCTACATAATCGATCTCAGACAAATAGAACTCCAAGGCAGGCCGAATCATAACACATTCAAACTTAAACTTGCTGATGCATATATAAAAATACATATTTTCTTGGAAGCATAGTTGCATGCATGCATGCATACATACATACATGCATGTTTATATAATATTTATACATACAGATATGAAGAAATTTCAGGTTCAAGTTCGGTCAGGGTGCCCAAGGCCTCAACCCTAACCCAACCCAAAGTTAAGTTGGGTTCATATTTTCAACCCTAACCCCAACCCAACTTTTTGGGTTTGGGTGTGAGCCAACCTGACCAACTTGCAACTCTAAGAACTGTCACTGTATATTTTACTTTTAGCCTGATGCATAAAATGTGATTTGAGTAGGATTGAGGACAGTTTTGGCAGGTTTATAGTGTGTTAAGTTTTCTGAATATCAGTAGACCTACATTATATTCAATAGTGAAAAAGCAAGCACATGGCAGTAGCATATAACCAATATCAAATAAGAAGAGATCAACATAGAAAAATACGAACTCACCAGAGTATACTAGACTGTGAATATTGTCCTTGCTAAAACGTTTGAAAACATTGCTCTTAATCTCGGCAAAGTTATTTGATACCAGCAACGCAAGGAGTGCATTATTGTGGGCAACAATACAGGTGGAAAAAGTAATTGCCTGTGCTAATAAGATGAATGAATGACCAAGTACGACTAGCTAAGGAAAACTAAAAGGAAAATACAAGATTACAATGATAAACGGTGTATAAATAAGCAGGAAAAAAAGGATATTAGATGCAAAAATGGCTAACGCTTCATCAGAAATGAATCTCCATAGCCAAAAGCTCATATTCTCTGGTGAAGAACTTGCAAGCCCCTCTGCTGAACTGAACAGAGTTTGCAAAATGTCTCCACCAAAATTTTGGAATATTCTATCAAATATCTGTCACAGGTTCAAGTATCAGATTGAATAAATTTTTAGTTCAGGTAGTCAAACATTCAATTTCAATAAGCAACCAATGTGCCAAAAATTTGACAGCCAAATAATACATTTGCTTACCTCTAAGACATTGTACACGACATAGAGTTTGACTGTTCCTTGACCACGGATCATGTGATATATTAGGCTGATATCTGATTCAAGAAAAAAGGTACCATAAAGAAAAGTCCTCTTTTCCAAATCAGAATACACACTTTCATGCTCCACATTTTCAAGCCAATAGCTAACTAATATAGTGGAAATTGGAGGGAGATTACTAATGTGATTAAGAACTAAGAAGTTCCATGCACTCCACCTGTTTCCTGTAGAAGAGTGACTCCAAGGACCAACACAATAAAACAACCAAAATCAGACAGTTCTGATGCAGATGGTCTCTGGAACAGCCTGCAACATGCATTGTTAAGTTACTTTAAAACATTACATGTCTCCATGATTAAATCGTGCATAAATACATATATGAAAAGATGGAAGTAGATAAGCACAAAAGTGTATGCCAACCAGAATCTAGGTTTCAGTTTCACCTCCAACTACCTCGCCAAAATAATTAAGTAGAAATTTAGAATAACGATTTTCAACTATTTGGGCACACTCAACACCTATCATTCTACAAGAAATACCAAATTCCAGTGCAGAGTAATAGCATAAGAACTTACCAGCAGCCAACCACAGTCACTTCAAGAATAGATGTAATGCAGGGCAATCCCAGAATCCCAAACCTTGCCCAATTGGGAAAATCCATATATATCTTTTAGGGCATATGCCTCTTTTGGGTCCAATCTCCTCACTTAAGGGCAATGGGCCTCTCGGCCTGGCCCATGTTTGAGCCTAGAACTGGAACCAGAATGGAAAGTGGCATAAGAGAATGTTCCAATAATGTACAAATAAGTATTTTGTGTTTTTTATTTGTTGTTTTATTAGATATCTTGAGTAACAAGTAGGGTTATGGAAGGCAAGAAATTATGAAATTAATTTGAAACATAACCCTAAACTTACTCCAAGATATATGATAAAACAACAAATAGGAGTCACAATTGATCTCTCTCTATCTCCCTTCCACCTATTCTCTTCTTGTTCTCTTCACTTTCTCCATTGGTTTCTTCTCCTTTTCTGTGAAAGTTCTTCAATGTGCTGAACCAACCCCCCTTCACTTATAAGTCTGTCACACCAAGATGATAAGCATCTTAAAAGAAATAGATGTTCAGACAATTGGATAGAAATTGAATTGAATTGAATTGAATTCCATATTTCCACCCCAATCCCAGGGAATATAAATTATTACCCTCAGCCTTAATACAAGGATTCTTAAAACTGCAGATATTGCAAATTTAAAATATTACTTTATAATTTTTTTGCCATTAAACAACTAGTAGAATCTGAAAACTTATTATTGAAAGTGGCTGATTCCATTCCAACCACCAAATGCTACAATCCAAACATAGCCCCAGAGAAAGCATGCAGACTACAGATTGACGAGCACAAGAACACAGATTTGAAACTAAGAGCTGCCACTTTACGCAAAAGATAAAAAAAAAAAAAAACCAAGGGTTAGGTCTGTATCCAGTCCACCCCTTCCAAGACCCTAAATAGTTGGGACCAACATTGAGTAAAGGCCTTTTCTTAGACACTAAAGATATTAAAAATAGCACAGTGATAGAAGTGGACATTTCCTTCTTTCTCTTATGTTAGACAAGTTGGTTTCCAATTGCTTCTAAAAATGAGCACAAGGAAGTTCCTTACATAAATTAAACATTGTTTACTCTACCCTTTATTATCTAATTAATTATAAAATGCATAAACATTGTGTTTCACTCTTTTAATCATTAATAAATGTATCCTTATTAATAAAAGGAAGCCATAAACAATGTGTAAAGATGCATGCATGCCTAACAATGTTTAAAAAGTAAACCCCAATATTTTGTGATTTAAGTTTATTCAGAAGATAAAGCTCAAAGAAGGGTCCAAAATATCATAAAGGCAACTTTAAGAGACACATTGGGATACACATGGATACAAATGAAAAATCAAGATATGCATGGATACGATCCAAATAAATCCTTAAAATATATTAATAATAATAAATATGAGTTTTAAATGACTATAATTAAGTTACTTAAACATAAAACCATATTTTAATGGTTTATATAAAGTGTGAGATATTGCAACATAATTGGCAACCATTGAAAAATAATGGAAGAACTAAAATGTGTGCTCACGTGTGTGTGTGTGTGTATATATATATAATCAATATAATTTGTGTTAATATTTATTATTATATAAATTTTAATAATCAATTTTTAGCATTTATTGATAAACATCCACTAAGAGGAGAAAGATTACTTAAGAATCAAAATACATATTTTTAAGACAATCAATCAGGGTATGGTGCAATGGTAGACTTATGGTCATTACAAAGGAATGACTAGGGTTCATATTTTCCTACCTTCTATTTATGGTTTTTAACAAACTATGTCAAATTCGAATTTGAATTAAGTGCCATATTTAAGTGGCACGTAATGGCATTCAAATCTGAACTTTGGCCTTTAATGGCGTGTCAAATTCAAAAGCTTAATTAAAGGAGGGAAATTAAATTTGAATTTGAAAAGTTTCCAAAATTGAGAGAAAGAGAGGGGATATTAAAATTTAGATTGTATAGGCCAATACATAGTATCGGTCCACATCGGGCTTGTATTGGCCAATACAAACCCAAAACGACCTGATACGGGCCCTATCAGCCAGATACAAATGAAAACATATGAAATAATCAAATTCTATACATTGAGAAATTTTAAACCTTGGCTCAAAGTTCTATAAACCACAGAGCTCCCTTATGTATCCTTCTATTGATAGTGTTCAACTTACTATATTAATTCTGCTTTTATTATTTTTTAATAAATTATATAGTTCCCCAACAAAAGCAAATCTACTTCTTAAAGAAGATTAACAATACAATTCAGCACCAAGATTCAGTTAAAGGAAAAAACAGTAAATTTTTTATAGCTGCTGCATAGGCAATCCAGGCCCATGTGGATTTGGAGCCTGGAGTGTTTTTAGAGGTTAAATGGAAGTAGTCTGATAAGCTATTCAGAGCCAGTGAGTTAAGGAACCTGTCTGAGGGCTAATCTCCTGATCCTTATCCAGGGATTAAAAGTAGCATTATCTACAAAGTTATCCAATTTCATTGTCAAAGGTGACTGCTCAGTGGTTATTTTCTGGTTTTCCCATAGGACTGATGGCCATGGGACTCTCAAACACCTGAAAAAGGAAGCCAAGGCCTTGGCATCCAGAATCATAATGGTTCCCAAGGCTTCCAACAGTCCAATAGACTCTGTAACAATGTAAGGAGTAAATAGAGTGGATCTTCCTTAGGGAATACCAGGCCCTGGGACAGATCTATAAATTTGTATTATTGAGAGATATATTGTATTTGGTTGTATTTGTAATATTGATAAGTTATGAGGACCTATATGTGCTTATGTTAAAAAAAGGGGCTTATGCATAATCCTGATGTACTTCGGTCTTTTGCTTATTTAAGCAAGTGGTTGTGTGAGATTAGGGAGTGAGGAAGAGAGTAAGAGTGTGTGTGTGTGAGAGAGAGAGAGAGTTGTATCTCTTGTTCTCATAGTGGATATGTTTCCTCTCCTCCCGTCGATGTAGGCTACCAAGCCAAACCACATTAAACCTAGGTGTTTCTCTATTTCTTCTTCTTGTTTCCTCCTTGAGTTTCTATTCTATTTTATGTTGGTTGACATGGTATCAAAGTTATTTTATATTGTGAAGGTGTTCCGGTTGCTACGAAGGTGTTCCGGTTGCTACGAAGGTGTTTCGGTTGGTGCAAAGGTGCTCTAGTTGTTGTGAAGGTGTTCTAATTGCTGTGAAGATGTTCAGGTTGTTGTGAATGTCTTCCAGTTGTTGTGAAGGTGTTCCGGTTGTTGCTATTTCATGTCCAATTGAGGTAGTAGTCGACTACTTGAAATCTCTTTGTATAGCAGTCAATTACTAGGAGCAGGATACTGATAGTAGTCGACTACTACGAAATCTCTTCGTGTAGTAGTCGACTACTAGCCTCAGGTTGCAGTTGTTTGTGAGTTGGTGGTGGTTTCATGAGTTGGAAAAGAGGCTTTGATGCCTCAAGTTGGGGTTGTTTGTGAATTTGTCAGTTGAAAAAAGGGGTTTTGATGCATCAAAGTTGTGGTTTCTTGTGAGTTGGTGAGTTGGAAAAGAGGCTGTGATGCCTCAAGTTGTGGTTGTTTGTGAGTTGATGATGGTTTTGTGAGTTGAAAAAGGGGTTTTGATGCCTCAAGTTGTGGTTGTCCTAAAACTAGCATAAGAATAACATACTTGGAAAATATGAATAATATACTTGGAAAGTTTAGCCTTTCCCTCAAATGTTATAGAAGGTCAAGGTGCATTCTACCAATCGATTGTTTACTTGCAAGGATCTGATAGAAAAAACCTGGTTAAATTCAGTCCCTTTTTATCTTTTTATATTTTTTACAGCCAAAAAATGGACATTTTTACTGATCAGAAAGAAAAAAACAAAATTGGAATTTACAAGCATCTACTAGTCAATTATTAGATAACCCTTTGTAAGCACATTTTATCAATCAACTAACAATATGAATCTTAGTTCATCTAGTTTTGATTGACTAATATTTTCTCAAATCAATCAACTTGCATTAAAAGTCATACATCTCACCCGCCATTCAGAAACCTCCTCAAGGTCATAAGGAGCCTTGCTGGCGTGATAGTTAGCAATGACAGAAACGAGTCCAGACAGACAAAGAAGCCAACATTAACAAGCTGCAAAATGAAGTTAGTACCTGAGAATCTCCATCACAAAACTAATGAGGCCATGACAGATGAAACATTAAGTTAAGGTATCCAAAAGCAACTCAACCACAAAAACTGGTTACAGAAATTGAACTACAATAAGTGTTTGTAATAGGCACACTCTAGTACTAGGTGAAAGTAAGAAGATACAACTATACCCTTTACTCTACTCCAGTAAAGTTGGACATAAGAAAAATATGACAAACAATTAATGCACATTGTGTAGATATACTGACATAAAAATCCTGATACCAGCAAGAACATTTCAATCCATATTTTAACTAAACAAAACAAGGCATGAATTGCTACCTTAGCAAGCACAATGAAAATGAAAAATATTTGCACCAATTGAGTGGATGTGATCTCATTTGTGTTTTAATCAATATAGAGGTAAGTTTATAATACTCAAAAGCACTTTCTGTAAAAGACCATAAGGAGGGGTTAAGTTTACCAGTTCACATCTCCATGGTAAACGGAAGATGGTATCATAAACTATCTCTCGTTCTTTTTCATTTCCAATGGTTGTTGTGCTATGCAAGGAGTTTCCACTATGCATTTCTCCCATAAAAAATTTAACTGGTGACTTCTCCACAGAGAAGAGATCTGATCACATAATTATATCTAAAAGTCAGTAAGATAGGATTACAAAACAATGTTTCCAAATGTAATGACATGCAACTTATATTTGTACTCAGAGCTGATACTAGTTCATGGATCTTAGTATTTTCAACGTGAAATAAATTACCTCCCTTAACTAATGTCTTCTTCATTATAAAAACTTAACCTTAGAAAGAATATCATGATCACAAAAATATTGACTTTTATATAAACTGGCTTTTCAACAACGACTTTTTTATAGTAAAATGAAATTTCATATAAGGCTCAGTTTGGAAGGAGTACAAATGCAAATATGCAGAGTGCAAAACCTTATTTTTGCATTATTTTGTATGTCTTTGCACAGTTCATATTTGCATTTGTACTCTTTCCAAACACAGCCTAAAGAAAATAGGAAAGGCATATAACAAGTGAGAAGAATCATTTACAAACACAATAACAAAAATACCCACATTCATCACCCTCTCAATACATCAATTCCCCCCTCTTGTTGGCTTTCTAATATGTTTCTGATTCTTCTGTTGCACTGCCTTTGGGCCTAAGAGAACCTCTCCCTCCTTTTCAATTTTAATATAAAGTAATCAGTTATCTATAAAACACATCAACACCCCCCCACCCCAGATAAAACAAAGTCAAGAAATCCAAAAACAAAATAAAATACAACCCTTTGGCACCAAAATCCCAAACCCAAATATACGGAAGTTTATCAAATAGATAATGCAAACCACTTAAAGACCCAAACCACCTTATTTAGATCCATTTTATTGCAGTACTAATAAACCTTCTCCACCTTCTTACCCCTTTGGCCTCCAACACTTTACTATTCCCATCTACTTAGCTTTTCTAACTGATGCTTCTGAGACATCAGCAACAAGTCAGGTTCTGAACTTCATCCTTTGAGATCCATCACCCCCTATTACATCCTCAGAATTTATCTATGAATCTATCATGACATAACACAACTTAAGGGTTTCTAAATCAAGTTCATACCTTGACACTCATAATCCTTTAATCCACTCAGTACTTACTGTAGCCAGTATTACAGCTCCTGTTTAATCAGTCAAAGAGGAAACAGCTAGTGAATCCTCACAAAGGCCTGCTCTTAAATGAGAAAAAAATCTTTGTGAAGTGAACCAATCTTTGGTTCTTTTAACCCTTCAAAGGCCTGTTCTTTTAACACTTCCTATTGCTATTATTTTTATCTTTCCCCACAATCCTTCTTTTTTATCAGTCCTTTCCCCACAGAATCTTCAAGAGCTGCATCCTGCAACTTGAGTATATCACACTCAGAAATAGTCCTTGAACATTGCTCCTTCTACGGCCCAGATAAACCCCCATCATTCTTATTGAAACTTTAGAATAAACCCCCTTATGTTGAACAATGAATGCCCTACGGATCCAATGATGATGTAAATCTTTTATTATGAATAAAAAGAATTTTCTCGTACAATCCCATGCTATGGGTATTAGTTTCTACCCTCATCTCTAATCTATTTCTATTTTTTTTTAGGATTACGTCAATTTACTGGTTGATCCCACTAACTTATAGAAATGACATAATCAGTATATAGACACCTACAAAGGTTCTCAACCAATGGTCAACCTAGGAGAGTTGGCCTGAGAAGGTTTACATGTACTGCCTTATGAGAAGAGACAATATTCCTTTATTGTCAAAGTAAAAGATTCAAGGTACATGTGTGGGTATCTGTATCAACAAACAATGAATTGGACCCCAACTTAGATACTTGTAGTTTCTGATTTGTGATCTCCAACTATTTCTTCTGAACATCAGACCTGATCTGCAATTATTGCTTGGGCTTGTCCTGGATCTATTTAGCTTTCACATTATCAAAATAGTGAAGCCTGATTGTGGGATATACCCAAGTGTGTTGGAAAATTCAAAGAAAAGATAAAGGCTGTGACGGGGATTCACCCCTCCAATAGTTGGAGTAAATACTATATATATGGGTCTTACAGGTGGTTAGGCCTAATATACTCAATTTGTAATATATGACACTAAACACAACTGTATGATTATCCAAACAACTATACAGAAAATTGGGTTGTGATAAGGCTCGTCAAACTGCCCTGTTATTAGTATAACACTCGGTCCAATTGGATTTGAACCAAGTTAAGTTGCCATTTGATTTGGGAATCCTATGGGTCATCCACAAATTGAATAGCCCCATCTCAATGACCTAGGAACAAGGTTTTGATCATGGTTTGTAATTTTGATAATCAATGGACATTTCACCATGCAAATAAGGGGAAATTTTAGGGATATTCCACTAGTTTTTCTAAAAAAAGCTGCCCAATACACGAGGCTCCCGCAAATGTGGAGTCTATGGAGGGAGAGAATACACAGAGAGGCTGTTACCAAGATTTGAACCCTGCTCACCTAGGTTGCAATGGAGCAACCCAACCATTATGCAAAGGTCCATTTTCACTGAGATATTTGGAAATTTAAAAAAAAAATCAAGGAAATTTTCTATAAAATATGGAATTAGTTAATAAACCTTTAAGAAATTGTTAGAAGTACAATGGAGCTTCCCAAAATTGATATGCTTGAAATTGCTATGAATAATCAAGAGACAATAAGAGAGAAAAACATTGAATCCCCTCTTGTGAAGAGAATTCAACACTAGGATCAAGGAGAAATTGCTCCTCATTGTCTCTTATATCTAAGGCATGTGATTTGGGAAATTCAACTGTAAACACCATTGAAGGTTTCTGCACTTGTGAACTACATTTAACATGTATTTTTCCAGTTAATCCTGGTAAATTGATTAAATTCCTATGGAATAAGATTCAAGGTAAAGTTCTCAGCACTCTAGGTAAAGATATTCACTCTTTAGAAGAGAAAATCAAATGACATCTGTAAACATTTTAAGAAATTCTGTTTGCCTTTCTCTATTTATGTTTTCTTTCAACAAGGTCTTCCAATGCCATCATTTTGATTACAAACATCCAACTCCTATGCAACCTCAGATTGAACACTTACCCTATTTGAATTAGAGGCTACTACTTGTAGCAACAAACTAGATTTATCACATTCCCAGCTATCACCAGATCTGTCAAGAGAAGAAGACTTGACCCTATCAACATCGTCCTCAATGATATCAGTAACTCCACCTAAAATTCCTGTTGCTTTGTTGCTGACCACCTCCCTATTGATTTTAAACATGCTAACATCCTCCCAAGTACTATAATAATTTTCAAGCCATCTACATTCAATACTTCATCATCTCAAGGACAAAACCCATCTCATGCACCTGTCATCAATGTATGTATATGTATATATATATATGCCAACCTCCACATGGCATAATCTACTTCAACCCATGCCTGCCATTCATATCTCAAGCAAGCTAGCATACAAGAATCCACTTTGTTATTCAACAGTCATAAAAGCTTTCTCTTTATTTTGTACTGGTTTTGAGATCTATAGTGATTTCATAGTCTATGTTCTATATGAAGCCATTTTAGGATTGGAAGGTCAATTTCAAAATATCCATGGACAGAATGTTTAACTAACCTTGGTACTATTCTAGGCTATGAGGTGAAGCATTAGCTCCTTGAATATTTGGGGTTTAGAGGAAATCCTAGACATGTAAACTTTATTGTTGAATTAATTTACAAAAAGCATATTTACAAGCAGAATACATGTAAAACAAGTTGCTATAAAACATGTTCCCTTTCATCCCTCAAAACATTAAAAAAATAGAAACAAAGCTAACAAGAGAAATTTTGATTAATGCATACTAGCCCTACAGTTATCTTAGTGCAGTTTCCTTTTGTCTAGATCAATTTCTTAGAGCAAATGGAAAGCTAACAAGCTCACTGCATTTGATTAGTTCAATCCCATCATTTCATTCCGTATCTCTGACTCTGTCCTTTATAAATCAGCTAAAAGAGAACCACTTGTTATATAAATCTATAGAACATTAATCAGCATTTCTAGAAATTGGCAACTACTAAATGAAAATGAACAAGGCGCATTACAGGAGCTTGTGAAGGAATCGGTACAAAAAAATCTTATTGCATTTCAGAAAAATGCAGAGTGTAGCCCCTGGTCACCTTTATTGAGATGACAAAATGCAAACCACCAAGCAAAATTCAATTCAAACCAACAATTGTAATCACTGCAAATCTGCAATCACATACTGGATAAGAGCAAGAAGGAAACAGAAACTAGATCATCATCATCATCATCTAAGCCTTGTCCCATTTCAATTCGTGAACCGAAAAGTTCATCAAAAATATTAATATGCTACACAGTGAAATTATGAATTTCTTACGTTACATGGTGGTATATCTAAAAAATGGCCAAAAGAAGTATTATTGTAGAGAAAAGAAGATTAAAATATCATGGAGATTGACTTACAGTTTGGATCTTCAGCCATGAGCTTCTTCCAGTCCAGCGATTCCGACGTCTCTAATTTTCTCGTTACAACACTTCCGTTAGGCTGAGTACTCCATTGCCCCAATGACGAATTTAATCCCACGTTACTCTCCACTTTAGCAGGCCCATCCGCCGGCGACAATGAATCATCACACAAACAGCACCCATTCACGCTCCTCTGCCTGAATTCCCCAGGCTGATGACTTTCCCCGTGCAAGTTCTGAAAATCATGCTCGTCCACCTGATGCAGAGTCCTAATACTCGTGGCGTTCTCTTCTGGAACCGTAATTTCCTCACAGACAACAGTTTGAATCGTGTAACTCCGGTGATCCGATTCCATTCCATTCTCAAAAGAAGCGTTCTCATAGAAAGACGGTTTCCGATCATCAAAAACCGAATCGACACTCTTATCAATGATCTGATCCTCATCGATAGGACTATCAATATCAACCTTCTTCTTCTTCTTTGAGCCTTTGTTCTTCCGTTTTCGACGGTTCGTCTTGCCTGCAGGGTCCACACGACCTACGTCTCCACTATCTGCTCGACCTGGCGCGGAATTTGACCGGTAAAAGGGAAATTCGTCGTTGATGGAACCATCACTTCTGAGGATATCGAAAGAGAGCTTTCTCCCGCCAGATCTCAAAGCCATGGGTCCGGGTAGAAGCAGGTGAAGAATCAGAAGTTGAAGTTAGCGCGAAAACCTGCCTTGGCGTTTCAGGCGAAGGGATCCATGGATTCGCAAGGCTAGGAGTTTGGAGTAAATCGGAAAGGAGGAGACGGGTGAGAGAGAAGAAGACATCGAATTCGGAGGATCTGAAGCACTTGGCAGTTGCCAAATGCCAACACTACCAACGTTTTTTCTCTACGTCTCGTCGAGTAGGATTTGAAAGAGTGGAATGTAATGGGCCCCACTACGAAAAAAAGGAAGGAATAGTCTGGTCTCTGTCGGGCGAGATCGGGTTCCATAAGGGTAAACCTGTGCCCACACCGATTTAACAGCTTTTCCCAACCTTGAGAATAACTCCCCATGAAATAAAGTATATTAGTACGGAAATATTCTCGATGGAAGGCAATAAAAGCTGCTCGGATAGGGCAATTTGCCCTGACTGAAGCCGAACTTCGGGCGATCGGGCCAACTCCAAATAAATGGGCCTATGAGTCCGAATCTACTCCTCAGAATAGGGCGCCTCACACCGTCCTCACATCGGCTGATTGTCCTGCGTTCGTGTGAAAGCAAAACACGAGCGGAGGGTTGCATTTGGCGCCCAAAACATTCGTACCCTTCTTCGTCTCTCCCTCTTCTAAACCTTCGATCTTCAAATAGTACTTGATCTCTAAGAACACTAGATAGACATTGTCCCTGATTCGTTCTTCTTCTTTTTAATTCCTTCACATCTTATATTTCAATTCTTCTTCGGACCTTTCTTCCAAACCCAACAACTACCGTCAAAAACAACACAAACCCACAAACAACAACGCCTACAACAGATAGAGAGATAAAGCAAAGCAATACCGATAACTGAGAGAAATAGCTCGATAATACAGAGATAAAGAAATACCGAAGAGAAGGACACTGTATTGGGTTAAGTGGGTTGTCTGAAATCTCAATTCTTATATGAATGTGTGTTTTGGTGTCGCCACATAGAAGTGCAGCAGGATAGGCGCCGCGTGTTGCGTCCTTGAAAGGTGATGGGTAATAAAGTGTCTACTTCTTTATATCAGGACTAAAGTCCTCCCTCCCTTCTCCACTGGTTGTAATCATATTTAC